TAGGGTTTACCGCTGCGGGTTGCTGGGCCTTGAGGATTTGGCGGGCTTTGCTTTTCAAAAGGGGAGAGGCAAACTGAGAGGCCTTCGGGCTTTGGGGCGGCCCCATGAGGGTCGGGGGGGCCCCCAGGGGGGCCCCCGGGGGGCCCCCGGGGGGCCCCCCGGGGGGCGCGAGCTGTCTAGACACCCGGAAAGCTGCAGCGGGAAGCACAGCAGCAGCAGCAGCAAAAAGGAAAGCAGCAGCAGCAGCGGGAGAGCAGGGGGCTCGGGAGCGACGGAGAAGGTTCATGGCGGTTTAAAGGGGTAAAACGAGGGTTTGAAGCCGAGACACGGCGCAGATAAACCCTAAACCCTAAACCCTAAACCCTAAACCCTAGGAGACGGAGCGCCGCAGCCCGGGAAACAAAAACGAGACAGGCAGCGACAGACATCCACGAGCTTCCAATTAAAACAACACAATAAGGCTCTCTTTCCAAACCCTTTCTGCGGTGTGCCCAAACCCTAAACCCTAAACCCTAGCCGCCCGTCGTCTGCTGCTCTGGGGGTTGCCAGCAGCCTCACAACAGCCCTAAAGAGGCCCCAGCACCGCCTTCTATCTTGTCTTGCACTTAATTACTTTTATTTTACTTTTATTTTTAATTTTAATTTAATTTAATTTAATTTAATTCAATTCTCCGCTTTGTTTCCTTCGTGGAGTCGCGGCCGTTCCTCCCGGCTGTACGTACACCCCAACGCCCCAGCGAGCCGCCAGCTCCCGCCCGCCCTGCCAACCGCCAAACGGCGCGTTTTTCGCCCAATTAGTTCTTTAAATTCCATTTAATTCGTTTCCCTTTACTTTTAATCCAAAATTATTCACTTCAAACCTCTAAATTCCAACGTTTTCGCCTTTTTACCCGCCGATCCCCACGGCAGCCGCCGCCGGGCTGCTGCAGCCTCAGCAGCGGCTCATTTCCCCTTAACTCCCGCATTTCATTTATTCAGAGTAAACACAATTAATTCATTTTATTTATTAAACTTAGTTTATTATTTTATTTATTTTATTTATTTTATTTATTTTATCTATTTTATTTTGTTCTTCATCTTCACGAAAGCCAACTCGCAGCGACACCTTCAAGACCCCCCAGCCCGCGGCTCCACCAAAATCCCCCTGTCTTGCACAGCCACAGCTAGCCACAGCTAGCCGCAGCTAGCTACGGCTGGCCACAGCTAGCTACAGCTAGCTATAGCTAGCTATAGCTAGCTACAGCTAGCCATGGCCAGCCACAGCTGGCGGGGGCTGCCCAGTTGGCTAAGTCTAGCTGCAAGTGGCCCCAGCTGGCTCCAGCTAGCTACAACTAGCTGCAGCTAGTTGTAGCTAGCTACAGCTGGCTACGGCTAGCCACAACGGGCTGTAGCTAGCCGAAGCCAGCCACAGTTAGCCACTACAGTTGGCCACTGCCCACGGCGAGCCACAGCTAGCCACCTCTAGCTGCAGCTAGCCGCGGCTAGCCACAGCTAGCCACGGCTAGCCACAGCCAGCCACAGCTAGCTACACCTAGCCACAGCTAGCCACAGCTAGCCACAGCTAGCCACAGCTAGCCACAGCTAGCCACAGCTAGCCACAGTTCGCTAGAACGTTGGCCCCAGCTAGCTAATCTTACCAGCTAGCCACAGCTAGCCACGGCTAGCTGCAGCTAGCCACAGCTAGCTAAGGCTTGGTAGGGTTCGCTACAGCTAGCTGCAGCTAGCTACACCTAGCCGCAGCTAGCTACAGCCAGCTACAGCTAGCTACGTTTAGGTTAAATAAATGTGGGGAAGCAGAAAGATAAGAGACGAGCCTCCAAGCCCAAAACTCTAAACCCTAAACCCTAAACCCTAAATTGGTGGAAAGGAACAACATATAAGAGAAGGCACAAAAGTGTGTCGCAGAAAAGACTCCAGTGCAGCACCAGCAGCAATAACAGCAGTCGCTACAGCAGCAGAAACGGAAAAAAAAAGCAACAGCAGCAGCAGCAGCAGCAGCAATAGTAATTGGAGCAGCAATAGCAGCAGCAGCAATAGTAATTGGAGCAGCAATAGCAGCAGCAGCAACAGTAACAGCAGCAGCAGGAGAAGCAGCAGCAGCAGCAGCACTGATAGCAGCAATTAATTGATTCTTATTTTCTACTTAAGTAACTTTTTGCAATATGTTGACATTTATACATTTAATATACATTTTCAATATATACTTTTAATTTATATTTTTACTTTATATTTTTAATTTGTGTTTTTATAATAATACTTTAATGTTAAATGTTTATGTCTACAGACACCTGCCTGCGTGGCTTGAATTTATTTTTCATTTAAATGAAATAAATTGAATTTAATTAAGGTGAATTAAAGCACTTAAATAAATAAAATATAAATACTTTAATTATTATCTTTTAATTTTTATTTCTGAAGTGTAATTACAGAAAAGTCATGAACAATTTTATTTCGTGCGGTTCAGGTGTACGTACACTGCACGCCACAGCATGCATTTATTTGCAAACTTTTAATTTCAAATTTTCATTTATTTCTTTTCCGATTATTCAAACTATAACTCGAATCATATTAGCTGAACAATGCTTCCCTTTCTCTGCAAGGGTTTAGGGTTTAGGGCTTAGGGCTAGGGTTTAGGGTTTAGGGTTTAGGGCCTTCCTTATATTTCATTTTATCGTTTTATTTTATTTTTGATTTAAAGATGACAGGATTATAACCCAAAGTGAAAATGAAAAGATTAATAGACTGAAATTATTTTCGATTTATTTCAATTTAATTCAACGTTTAAATTAATTTGTCAAATAACTTTTTATACTTCTTAAAGACTTTTGTAATTCTGCAATTTGGCTCTTTAAAATTTTTTGTTTTAACTTTTTCTCCAGAGTCTTTTCTAAATTTACTTTTTTCATTTTCTCCTTATTTAATCTTTTCTTCTGAATTTATTTTTGGACTTTTTTTCGGTTTTATTTCAACTCAAATTTATGTTTTTATTTGCATTTGTGTTTACCTTTAAACTTTGATTTTAATTCTTTTATATTTGTACTTATATATAAATCTCATATTATATTTTATATTATGTTATATTCGGATTTCAGTTATATTTGTATTTAAACTTGCACCTGTTTCAATGAAACACAAAACCAAAACATGAATGCAAAAACCTGCCTTTTGAAAACCCTAAACCCTAGACCCTAAACCCTAAACTCTCTAAACCCTAGCGGTTGTGTGGGCGCTGGCGTGTCCGTTTCCGCAGACCTTCTTCAACTTTAGTTTCCGTAAACAGGAAATGATGAACTGAAGAGTTTTGAAATTCTGAACAGCGTTTAAATGGGAGAGTAAGGCTGCAGCGGCGTATGGTGTACGTACACCTCGGCGTGGGAAGATTCAAGAAGCCAGTTTTGGCGCTTTTTGATTTTTATTCTTTTTTAAATTTAAATTTAATAAATGCAGCTGCAGCAAAGGGCGTTCGTGCCAGCTCTCGGGTGTCACGACAGCTGCGGCGGCCCGCAGCTGCAGCCGACGGGCGGCCGCTGCAGAATCCGCGAAAAGGCGAATTTGCGGGGAAAATGGAGGAAATTGGATGAAATAAAAAGAAAATTTGAATAAAAATAGTTGCAGTTGAGGCGGAAAGGAATTAAAAAAGTGGAAAGTCCATTCGGCTAAAAGCGACGCGAAAGAAGCTTCCTGAAGGGCGCACAGACACCGCGCGCGGACGCGCGTACAGCCCACGCAGCAGCGGCGGCGCAAATGTCATTTGTTCTTTTTTAATTCAAAACTTTGGAAATAAAAGAAATTTAAAACTGCAGAGTTGCTTTTGGGAAGCGGAAAACGCAGCCGAGGCGCCCAGAACCTGCTCTGCTAGCTGCCTCGGCGCGCCCGCCACTGCGGGTGGATTTGGCACGTCGGCGGCGGCGTGCTGCGTTTGTTCTTTCCAAAAAGAACAATAAAACAATTGAATAACTACTTAACTTAATATTTGCAATTTTAAGCGCCGTCGGTACGGTTTCTGTCTTGCAGCTTCCCCGCGCGGAAAGTGCCCGATCTGCGAGGTGTGCATACACCTGAAACCCGTTCAAGTTTTCGCATTTCGCGGCCTTCAAAGCAGAAATTATTTCAGTTTTACTTTTTTAGAACAGCTTTGAGGCTCTGTTTTTGTTTATTTTCCTCTTTCTCGCGGTCATGAGACGGCTCTCCCTCCCGGGAGCTGCAGAAGGTGCTTCTTCTTGCTGTCAACCCCGGCGAGAGTCTTGTTCAACTTCCCGATCTCCTGCTTTTCTTTCATTTTTGAGTTTACATTGCAATTATTGAGGCAAAATAAAACAAAAGAAACACATTTGAGCGGAAAAAGCATCAAGAAGCAGCAGCTTTCTCTCTTCTTCGAGTTTTACACTTCCCGGATTTGAACTGGGACTCTGTCGGCGACCCGTCCCCGAGCTGTACGTACACCGCGAGCTCCCCAAATGGCGCTGCAAAAACTGGAAAGTTTCTTTTCTTTTATTTTCCTTTTCACTTCCATTTCGGGGCTCGCTCTGCACGCCACGGCCACCACTTCTGCCCCCCAAGAAGCTGCGAGCTTTTACCAACTTTTAAAACTTTCAAAGTGAGTCCAAATGCCTTTTCCAATTTGCTTCCCGTCCCGCTCTTCAGGTGTACGTACACCTCGCCGCTGTTTCGGGTGTACGTACACCTCCCCGCAGCCGCCCCGCAGCTCTCGCCATTTCCTTTTTCTTCCTTTCATCGAGAGGCACCAGATGCAGCAGCAAAACCCCGAAAGGAGACGAATGCATTTGCTGCAGCAGCAGCTGCTGCTGTAGCAGCAGCAGCAAAGCAATTAAGACCGCGCTGCTGCACAGCGCTGCCTGCGTCCCCCTGTATTCCCAATGCCTAATCCATTTATCCATCTTTATTTATTACTATTTATTTATTATTTATTATTTATTATTTATTTATTTATTTATTTATTTATTTGTTTAGAGGCGCGACGGAGACGGAGGTGAAGAGGGCCTACCGCCGGCTGTCTCTGGAGCTGCACCCAGATCGGGTGAAATTGAAAAACGGAGATTTGAAAAAAGCAGAAGAGACTTTTCAACAAATTAACAAAGCTTACCAAGTCCTCTCCAGTAAGTCTTCACCAGCAGCAGCAGCAGCAGCAGCAGCAGGAGTGGCAGTAGCAGCAGCAGCAGCGGGAGCGGCAGTAGCAGCAGCGGTATTAGCAGCAGCAGGAGCCGCCCCAGCAGCAGCAGCAGCAGCAGCAGTATCCTTATCCTAATCTTTCCCAACAGCAGCAGCAGCACCAGCAGCAGCAGCAGCAGCAGCAGCAAAGAACCAATGGGGTCCCTAAATCCGCAAAAAACGCCAAACTGCTTGGAAAAAGCAGACTAAACAAACAAAACAAAGCAAATAAAAAAAACCAAATAAACGAACCAAATAAACTTAAACAAACAATAAACAAAACAAATAAATAAATAAAAAAGAGTCCTTGCGGGCCTGTGCAGACCGGCGTTCGCGGCGCTTGTTTGACGTGTACGGACAGCTGTGGGAGTCGCAGGAAGTTTACTACTTGGATTTGGAAAGTTCGAAATCAAAAGAGATTTATAATTTCAAAAATGGAGTTTTTCTTTTGAGTCTTTCCAACTTG